ATGCACTGCACACTCGCTCCACACCTGCACTGTGCACACTGCACACTATTCACAACCACTGCCCCGGACACACTGCAGCTGGACACTGCACACAGACACTGCTCACGCATTGCAGGAACACTGCGCACTGACACACTGTATGGACACTGCACGTATATACTTCACACACACTGCACTGCATCTAGACGCGCTACACTGCATGTACACAGGCAGGAGCGCACACACACGGTACACTCACTGCGCATGCAAACCCCACACGTACACACACTGCACCTTCACTGCCCACTCACTGCACACAGATACACCGCACCCTCGCTGCACACACTGCACATTTTTCACACGCACTGCACGGAGCCACACTGCACCTGGACGCAGCAAAGCTCCTGCACACCGACACACACACTACAAGCACTGTGCACACACGCGGACACACAAGGGCCCTAGGCGGGGGCTGCTGTATTGTGCCAGCTCTGAGCCCTGCCAGGGGGCGTTGGCATACATGGGTCTGACGCACACCAGCTGGCGTAAGGGAGAGGGGAACCGCGGGGTACATGTCCCAGCTGGGCTCACGCTGGTGTTCCTGATCTCTGGGACCCAGACACCCCGACACCCCGCGGGGCGGACTGTCACCCCCCAATCCCCCTGAGCCCGGCCGGCCGCCCTGGCTGGGGGGTTTCTGGCTGCTTATAAAAGACAGTTTTTAGTGTTTCCTTTTGCATGTCGTGTTCGTGTCTTTGACAATTCACCGCCCCCCCAATAAAGTGACGGTGGGGAAGGGTTCGAGGGGGAGCGATGGGGCACATGGGGGTGGAGAGGGCCCCTGTGACGGGGAGGGCACTGAGATGGGGGAAGGGTCAGTGAGGTGGGGAGGGAGAGAGGGGACACAGAGAAGTGGGGGGGCGAGAGGGGTGGGAGGGGGGGCTGTCAGTGTAAAGGGGGTGATCAGGTATGGGGGAGGGGCTCTGAGGGGGGGTGGAGGTAGGGGGCAAACAGGGGCCCTGCCCCACAGCAGAGGGGGGCTTAGGGGGTTAGTGCTCAGGTGGGGGAGAGCAGCAGAGGGACAAGGTTCGGGGGGGGGGGGCTGGGTCCTGAGGGTGACGGCGCTTTGCAGATGTGAGATGAGGGGGAGGGGCTGCTTGGCTGTGCCCCCCCCAGACACTACCCCACATGTGGGAGCCCCCACCCACACATTAACACCTGGGCACTGCCCCATCTAACCCACCAGCCCCCACTCCCCTCCCAGAGCCGGGGAGAGAACCCAGGAGTCCTGGCTCCCAGCCCCCCTGCTCCGACCCACCAGCCCCCACTGCCCTCCCAGAGCCGGGGAGAGAACCCAGGAGTCCTGGCTCCCAACCC